CCCCCGTTACCCAACTCTGTTTACAGCAACCGCAGAAACCTTATCTTTGTAACACATATATCATGCATACCATATATCTCTTATGTAATTCTATTTAAAATATATCTCTTTGTAACACATATATCATGCATACCATATATTTCTTTGTAACACATCATGTTTATATCTTCTTTATCTTCGTAACATGTAAATATATCATGAATCAGCATATAATTTATCTCTTATGTCATTCCATATATACTATATCTCTTTGTAACATCATAAATATCATATATCTCTTATGTGATTCTAGATATAATGTATCTCTTTGTAACACAGATATTATGCATATCTCTTTGTATCTCTCGGTCCGTCCTGTATGAATATGCTTGTCCTCTACCCATCTAGTTCCGTCCTGTATACATTTGCTAGATAACTCCTCCTCTTTGTCCGTCCTGTTTAAATATGCTTGTCCTATGCCCCTCTACATCCGTCCTGTATATATATGATTGTCCTCTACCCCTCTAGATCCGTCCTGTATAAATATGCTTGTCCTCTATCCCTTTAGATCGTCCTTTATAAATATGCTTGTCCTCTACCCCTCTAGATCCGTCCTGTATACCCTCCTCCTTCTCCTTTCTATCTATTCCTAGCGCCAACAAATATCTGACAGAAATATTTCAACAAATATTTTCATGTTTTCACGAGCTACTGAGCTGAGTTGACCGACTCCTAAGATGTATTAGAAGGTTAGAACTGACCCTGCAGCTGATGTTTCAATCATTATTTTACAAATTGAACGAAGTGAAATAATTATGTACTTTGTAGGAAAAATTTCGTAATTGCTTCGACTTTCGAGGCACATCATGTACGTCATTCGATGTACAGTAAGTTGGTTAGTTTTTGGTTCGTTTTCTGTCTAGATTTACTTTCAGGGTGAAAATTTTACAAAGTGTAAAAAAAACAAATGGTTTCGAAAATGTTTGCCAATTTTTCATTTTGCCAAATTTTGAAAATTATAGAAAATATATCCATAAAACGATTTTCCGGTTTTTAGGATTAAAATATTGCAAAGTTTAATAAAACCTACAGACTACAGTTTAATAAAAGCTATAGAGTACAGTTTAGAAATCTTGGAAGATTTAGTTAAAGATTTAAACGCCCTAAACGATTATAAAATGAGATAACGGTTTACCCCCCCCCCCCCAAAAAAAAAGCATGAGACTTATGTACATGTAAAAAAAGATATGAGAATTTTACTAGAATATTTTTGTATTTTTTACCCGTGCTTTAGGCGGGATGATGTTGATCAAGCTAAAGAAGCCATTTTCTGCTGGATTACTGAGTTTACAGTTCGATATATGTTCTTTTTATCAGTTTTTATAAATCCTTTAATCATATGGATAGGATCTCCTACCCACGAGCATCAAATTCTTTTAAAAGGTTTCTTCTGACTTTGTGCTTTTTGATGATCATTATTTTTTATCATTATTATCATTAATGCAAGGATTTAATGCAAGGAAAGTTAATTCAAAGGTGTACGCATCTTTTGTACAGCAGTGTACTGTCACTGGGCGGTAATGTAAACACAAGACGGATGTCGAAGCCTGACATGGGATCCATCTTTCACATAAATAATCAATGAAATATTTTGGTCATAGGAAACTATTATGTGAATTAACAAAATTATCAAAATTCAATGCTTTAAACCTCCTCGGATACTAAACGAACACTGAGGCATCTATTCTTGTTTACAAATTCCGCCCAGAGAGAACTGGTTTCAATATGTACTAGCTTGATACACTACCCTATAAACTGAGTAACATTTAGTCAGAAATCGTCCTTTTTCTATCATAAAACTGGGATATTTCTTTTTTATGTTCTCTAATGAGTTATATCGTGTCACTGCCATCTCAGAATGTCAGGTACTATGAAATTTCTACTAAATTCGTACCGGTCCTACCCAGGGAGTAAGGAATAGAAGGGAGAGACAACTGACACGGTTCGCCCTACCATGTGATTATACATGCTTTGCAGACGGTACTCCATTTTATATCGAGCTGTTTGGTTTCATTAGTAGGGCCCCACAGGAAAAATATGTATTGGCTCAATTTTCTTTGACCAGTTTCGCCAACACATATTTTTCCTG